TGGCTAGTTGGGAGGCATAGAGGTACTGTATGGTCGGGCTGAAGTAGAGACGATGATGCACCACCGTTCGTATCTCCCTCAACACCTCCACCAGTCGGCTAGCTGTCCAGGGACCATGATGATAATGATGGCGATGACGGAAACAACAGGAAGGGATTAAACAGTAGAAGGAAGAAATCTGGATATAAAACTATGTGAAACACGTGTATTTCCTTCAGTAACCTTCGAGATAGAAACATAGGAAAAACAATGACAAAAAAAGTAAATTAATTCCTAAGGAAGCTGCTCAAGGTGGTGAGAGGATTCCTAACAAGTGACGTTATTACTGAAGCAAAGCCAATAAAATTACCACCACATTACACCCTCACCACCACCACCACCATCACCACTACCAGTAACAACATCACAAACCATAATAATGTTAATAACGATGATAATAATGACAATGGCAGCATGATATAACGGCAATAATAATGATAATAATAATAATAATACATCAACAATACTCTAACAATAATAGCACAGTACTATGCCAATAAACAAAGATATAATAAGAGAAAGCATCAATCTATAACTGGACAAGAGAGTCAACCAACTGGCACAACTTACCAGTCAACTCGTCAGGAGTGATGGTCGGGTTCCTAGGATCCTGTATGCTGTAGTAAAGATCCTGAGCCTCTCCCACCAGCCCCTCCACTACCCTCACCACCCCAGCTTTCATCCTGTAACATACATCAGTGTTACAGGAATAACAGATTATATAGGTAGAGTAATAAGGGAGGTTACACAGTTACAGGTTTGGCAGGTTTACAGTCCCTCTACCATCCTTACCAACTTAACCCACATCCTGGAAGCACAAGGGAGGTTACAGCCATCAATCTCACCAACTAAGTGTTCATTCTGTGAGTTGGTAAGTAGCTGAGGTAGTGGATGTTAGCTATGTGGAGTAGATTACAAGTTACAGCAGCACTTTGGAATTACAGAAGCAGAGTACAGGATACAATAGTAGTTTAATGGTTACAGGAATAGGGTACAGCATCGGAGTGCAGATTATAGGAGCTAATTACAGTTTGCAGGAGAAATTTACAGGTTACAGTTTACAAGAGAAGTTTACAAGTTACAGTTTATGAATAGGTTACAGAAGTAAGTTACACATTACAGAAGAATATATTGGATTGTGGGAGTAGGTTACACGCTGCAGGTTATGAGTAATTCCCACCTGTGAACGTGGTCCTTGTCGTCCTGCAGGGAGGCGGAGTCGCGTGATGACATGGTGTGATTAATGTAACAAAAACACTGTCTTCTTCACTACACTCTCTTAGGCTTCAGCTCTACGAGTTTGTGGAGGATATAGATATTAAAGTTATGTAATGTTAAAAGAAAATTAATGTTCCTTCTGACTATATCTAAGGCGCACTTACTCTCTTTATCTATTTATATAGCTGAACGAAACAATATATCTATCTAGCTAAAAAATCTTGCACCTTCCTTTCTTCCGTTTCACTTCTCAGATAACCCATTTCATTTCATGTACTGTACTTGCGTTTCTTCGTATTTGTTTTTAACAACATCAATAGTCTTATTGTCTTACCACCGAGGAGAAAATTTAAATGCAGGCTGGAGATTGTCTTTCACACCAGTAAAAATAACCTTCGTTCAACAGTAGCGTCCCCGTCTCCATGGTAACCCAGCCATGTTTGTTGACACTGGCCAACGTTCTGCGACCATATCCGGATTCAATGATTTCTAATTTTGTTTATTATTAACTGAAAGTTTATTATGATTATAATATGCTTGTATATTATGTGCAATGCATATATTGTACACACAGCCATTTTGTATATATGTACGTATATTATAAGTAAGCGATACATAAAATCTCCGTGCTTCGTGATGAAGTCAAAACGTATAATGAAATATGAAATATTTGACTTTCTAACATGACGCATTCTGTTTCAGTGGCCGTGAAATAAACTATGGCTGTACACCAAGGTTAAAAAACAAAACAAAAGAAACTCACAAACTTTATTAAATAGAAATAGATAAAGAAATATATTTAAAAAAATTCCTCTTAATTTATATTAATAATATCTCATTTATAAAAATTGTCAAGTCATAATTCACTGAAAATATTTAAGGTAAAAAAATATTTCCCTGCGTCTGACAACATAAAAATATATATAAATATTTATCTAAAAATCTGTTAAATTAGGTAAAGTCATACTTAATGTGTTTGTATAATATATAACAACCTGGGTCAATTGTCACAAAAGTTTATACAATGGATATTCCTCATAACTGAAAATTTATTGAATAAATCTGACTGCTTGACTTAAGATAAAAACAGAAATATCTTTGAAAAGCAACATAAACATTGATTAGAGAATGTCATCACCGGATTGGTTTACTTACGAAACAAAATCAGGTTGATAATTATCTTTCCAATAAAGTCCCTGCGTTTAATTTGTCTCCCGACTTGCGTTTGCGTAATAAAATACTACTACTACAAATAATAATAAAAATATTGTAATAATAATAATAATAATAGTAGTAATAAAAATAATGTGTTGAAAGGTGACAAGAAAGTGATCTATAAGTTTACAGACATATTTTAACCATCTTTAAACCCCCTAATATGACCTCTTAATACATGGCTGGGCGTTGCTTCATAAAGATTCTAACGCTATTTACCCTCAAGTGGGAAGAACACAATCAGTTAAGGCAGTCTCAGTACACTTTTGACACCCTTTTGGCTGCCAACCTTGTTCTCACATCTACAGTAAAGAAAGCATGTAACATAAGAGCATTTGAGAATAACATTCCTCTTGGCTGTTGATGAATGGTGTTGTGGTAACTGTGACTGACTGCACAACACCAGTCATAAAACACAACAGGATGACAACTGCCATCTTATATACACTACTGGACCCCAAGCCCCGAGGCGCAGGTGAGAGCACTGACCCGGTTGCCAGGTATACGAGAACTCACACCTTCATTCATTCTTCCTTAAACACTTATCTCACCTCTCGCTGCCTATACACACATACACGAGGGTCTACAATGACGTGGTTGGAGTTTGTAATGATGTTTATAATGAAGATTGATGGTATATTCATTATAAAGTAGAATGTTGAGGTGACTTGGTATACTTTCCTTGAGGGTAAAACAACGGGGCCGCGGTTGTGTGAATAATATTATAATGGTATCTACCTCTACTTCTACTCATTGGCCACGTATAGAAGGGTCAGTAGAAGCTTAATGGTAGCTTTATTAGGTAGAGAAAATTGTATACCTATAATGTGAACTTTTATGATGATTTTACTGACTATCTATCTATCCGTGTAAGTCAATGTTCTGCTTATAGTGTATAACATATTGATGTACTGTACACAATTAACTGGGAGTAAAGTATATTGTGTGTGTGAGAGGTGTGTGTGAGAGGTGTGTGTGTGTGTGAGAGAGAGGTGTGTGTGTGTGTGAGAGAGGTGTGTGTGTGTGTGAGAGAGTGTGTGTGTGTGTGTGTGTGAGGGTGTGTGTGTGTGTGTGTGTGAGTGTGTGTGTGTGTGTGTGTGAGAGGTGTGTGTGTGTGTGAGAGAGGTGTGTGAGGTGTGTGTACATTTCCGGTATAATCAGGTGGAGGTTCTTGACGTCATAGGTAAACAATGTAATGAAAATGGAGAACGTCACTTATCGTCTCAATACATTTTACATTTTCACAAGCAATTACATTTTTTTTGCCTTAATTGTTAGAGAATCACGTGAAGATTAGCCCCCCACCAGCTTATTCTCTAATTAAACACCTTAATCCAAGCAACCTGGGTGGATTAGGTTAACATTAGTTCAAGTTTGATTTGCTTAACTCCACACTCTCACTGCTATTTCACATTCACTGCATTAATAACTTGCCTCCTACCACACAAAGATGGCGTTAATATCGTGCTGAGACTGTTAACGTTATTTGATAGATTTGTTTTCTTCTTGGTTTTAGGAGAGGCCAGGGGAGGGGGTGGCTGGGGGTGAGGGGTGATAGGGAGGGGAATGGGGGAAGCAATGGGTAGACATCATGACCCATACCGGCACCTCCTCCCTCCCTTCCCCCTCCTCCTCCCCTCCAGAACACACCTCAACCCCGTTACCTCTACTCGGCCAAGATTTGTTTGTTTCTTTGTGCACCTTTAATGACTATTTATTATTATTCTGCTTATGAAACTTTTATTATTATTATTATTATTATTACTTCTGTTTTATATTTTTTATTACCTTGTCTTTATAAATACCTGAACATACTCATACGTGTGACTTTTGTTCCTGCGACTTTCGTTCCTGCGACTTCCGTTCCTGTGACTTTTATTCCTATCTATCTATCTAATACTGCCAAGACATCCTGGGTTTATAATCACCCGTAGGCTGTACACAAGCCAACAGACAACTGGCATTCTGTAAAAGGGTCAGTGTGAACATCTTTTGTTATTTATACTCTCTCTAGTTTGGATACATTTCCATTTATTCCAAGATTTGTGGTGACGTCCATTATTTCCGGGGTCTCACGAAAATTAGGAACCTCCACTTATTTCACCTGATGGTATGGTATGGTTAGGTTAGGTTAGGTTAGGTTAGGTTAGGTTAGGAGGTGTAGAGTGTTGGCGTAAAGTAACAACTCATTTCATTGTACCGTGTCTGAGAGAAACTTGTTCACTCACAGACAGACAGACTGCATCTATTCTTATGGGTTCCTTTAGCTGGAAAGTTCTCAGGGAGGGAAAGCAAGGGGGGAAGGGTTAAAGAGGTATTTGTTTTGCTTGAGGAACAAAAACAGAAGAGATTGAGTGTTAAACAAAGACATAAATATGTTAACCGTTTAACAGACTATCAAACTTGACTGTTAAACGGCAATAACGGATTTAACGGCCGTTGTTGGTATGTGTTCCTGGGGGGCGATGTTAGAGCGTCTTATTAGTATAGTTGGCAACTGTTAGCGGCGCACCTTGGACTGGTGGACACACAGTCTTCGCCAGTCACACTCATACACCGCCAGTGACCGAGCCTCACGTATGCGCACCAAGCCTCTTCATAAAGCCTCAACCCACACCTGCTTGGATTATTTTTACGTTCATTTTTAAATCTATATTTTTTTTTTAGTGATTTGTGCCCCGAGTGTTGCGTGTGTTGGTGTTTTTGTGGAGGAGAGGCGGGGGTGTAGGTGTAGTGTGGGCGACCCTCACATCACCAACACACAGCTGGAGCACCACAGCCACACCTTCCCTCGACCAAAGCTTAACTCAGTGTTTGGAACCTCCACACGTTAAGCTTTTCTCCTGACTGTCGATGAACAAACACTCCCGGCTGTCAGATTTACATATCACATGGTAACCAAAATGGCGTTAAAATGATACGGAGACCTGTACCGTCACCCCAGTTAGTGTGATAGACCACTTCACCCCAGAGCCTTGACCTAAAGTGTGGAGGGAGGTGGTGGAGGCCTCTCAACATGGCCTCATCGGAGGTCAACAAAGAGGAATTGTACGAGCTGGCGTGACCCAGTGTGACCCAAGACGCCCGTCAGCATGCGTGGTGTGACCTGCCTCCAAGTGGTTAGGTCATCCAGGGGTCAACCATCATGGCTGTCTTGTCCTCCTGTCTGTGTTGCAGCTTACTGCTGGGCACCATCATCGCTGGCGTCTTCACCACTGTAAGTCTACCCTGTGCTTCACTATACATGGTGCTTCACTGTACATGGTGCTTCGCTATACATGGTGCTTCACTATACATGGTGCTTTACTATACATGGTGCTTCACTATACATGGTGCTTCACTATACCTGTACGTACATGGTGCTTCACTCTACCCGTGACTTCACTACACCTGGTGCTTCACTACAGAAAGTCCGTAACTATTCAATAACTTTGGTATTGAACGATTTTTTCGGGAATCTGACCAATTTATTGCCTTTTCGCAATTATTATTTACTCAAAGTAAAAGAAAGTTTTGTTTTACAGCAAGTAATAAAGACACGAAGGTTAGAAAGTGTCGTAAATATTCTCCCTGCTGTACGTCTAAATTGTTGCGGTGATACGGCAGTAATTCTCCAGTTATTGGCTGGGAAAGTGGCGTGTTTTGGTCAGGTGAGTGAGTGAAGCAAGTATCTACCTTGTTCCTTAACACCTAGAGGTACCTTGTTACCTTACTGAGTGAGACATACAGTACATTGTTCCTTAACACGCGCCTAATGGTATTTTGCTATATAGTCACATGTATCTCTTATAGGTCATCATCATCATATGTGTGTGTGTGTGTGTGAATTTAGCAGGAACGGACAAGTGAGCCACTGAGTGACATACTCAGTGGTCCTTGCTCTTATATTTACATATTTACAAGCGCAAGATATAGTTTTAGGATGACCTCGCTAGTCTTGTAACACCCATTTGTATGAACCCAAGTCCTTTGTTAGCCTTGTTTCGAGTAAATATACATTGTTGACTTGGTTTAAGATTCCTACTTATCATTACCGCTAAATCTTTCTCACATTCGGATTTCTCTATAACATCGTTGTTCATCTGATATCTGGTTTCTCTGTAGTTTACATTTGTCCACATTAAATTTTATCTGCCATTTTTCAGACCATACGAAAAATTTGGTTAGATCTTCTTGTAGTTTTGCGGAGTCCTTGTCAAATTTAATTACACGCCTTATTTGTGTGTCCTCAGCAAATTTGCTTATGTCGCTGTCTACGCCTACATCGATGTCGTTTATGTATATAATAAAAAGTAATGGTCCAAGTACTGAGCCTTGGGGTACTCCACTAGTAACGTTACCCCAATCGGATTTAGTGCCGTTAATCCTTACTCGCTGTTTCCACGCCCTAATCCATTTTAGAATATCTCCTCCAATTCCATGAGCCTCCACTTTTCGTATTAGTCTTTCGTGGAGGACTCTGTCGAAGGCTTTGCTAAAGTCGAGGTAAACCACATCATAAGTGTGCCCCTCGTCCACTGATTCGAAAACAGCTGAAAAGAAAGTTAATAGATTAGTCAGACATGAACACCCACTCGTGAAGCCATGTTGAGAGTCATTGATCAACTTGTGCTTCTCCAGGTGATTTCGAATAGAGTTTTAAATTATTGGTTCCAGTAATTTACCTACAATTGATGTTAAACTGATTGGACGGTAGTTAGAGGATAGTGATATATCTCCCTTCTTGAAAATCGGTATCACATTCGCTCTCTCCGGGATGTTATACCTGTATTATCTCATTAAGTGATCAATCTTGTGTAATGATTCTGGTGGCAGGGATCATTACTACTGTTGTCATTATCTCGGAGGATCTGTTGGTATGGATCATTACTACTGTTGTCATTATCTCGGAGGATCTGTTGGTAGGGATCATTATTACTGTTGTCATTATCTCGGAGGGTCTGTTGGTAGGGATCATTACTACTGTTGTCATTATCTCGGAGGATCTGTTGGTAGGGATCATTACTACTGTTGTCATTATCTCGGAGGGTCTGTTGGTAGGGATCATTATTACTGTTGTCATTATCTCGGAGGATCTGTTGGTATGGATCATTACTACTGTTGTCATTATCTCGGAGGATCTGTTGGTAGGGATCATTACTACTGTTGTCATTATCTCGGAGGATCTGTTGGTAGGGACATTATTACTGTTGTCATTATCTCGGAGGATCTGTTGGTAGGGATCATTACTACTGTTGTCATTATCTCGGAGGATCTGTTGGTAGGGATCATTATTACTGTTGTCATTATCTCGGAGGATCTGTTGGTATGGATCATTATTCCTGTTGTCATTATCTCGGAGGGTCTGTTGGTAGGGATCATTATTACTGTTGTCATTATCTCGGAGGATCTGTTGGTAGGGATCATTATTACTGTTGTCATTATCTCGGAGGATCTGTTGGTATGGATCATTACTACTGTTGTCATTATCTCGGAGGATCTGTTGGTATGGATCATTATTACTGTTGTCATTATCTCGGAGGATCTGTTGGTAGGGATCATTATTACTGTTGTCATTATCTCGGAGGGTCTGTTGGTAGGGAACATTACTACTGTTGTCATTATCTCGGAGGATCTGTTGGTAGGATCATTACTACTGTTGTCATTATCTCGAGGTCTGTTGGTAGGGATCATTATTACTGTTGTCATTATCTCGGAGGATCTGTTGGTATGGTCTGTTGGTAGGGATCATTATTACTGTTGTCATTATCTCGGAGGATCTGTTGGTATGGATCATTACTACTGTTGTCATTATCTCGGAGGATCTGTTGGTAGGGATCATTATTACTGTTGTCATTATCTCGGAGGGTCTGTTGGTAGGGATCATTATTACTGTTGTCATTATCTCGGAGGATCTGTTGGTATGGATCATTACTACTGTTGTCATTATCTCGGAGGGTCTGTTGGTAGGGATCATTATTACTGTTGTCATTATCTCGGAGGGTCTGTTGGTAGGGATCATTATTACTGTTGTCATTATCTCGGAGGATCTGTTGGTAGGGATCATTACTACTGTTGTCATTATCTCGGAGGATCTGTTGGTAGGGATCATTACTACTGTTGTCATTATCTCGGAGGATCTGTTGGTAGGGATCATTACTACTGTTGTCATTATCTCGGAGGATCTGTTGGTAGGGATCATTACTACTGTTGTCATTATCTCGGAGGATCTGTTGGTATGGATCATTATTACTGTTGTCATTATCTTGTCATTATCTCGGAGGATCTGTTGGTAGGGATCATTACTACTGTTGTCATTATCTCGGAGGATCTGTTGGTATGGATCATTATTACTGTTGTCATTATCTCGGAGGATCTGTTGGTAGGGATCATTATTACTGTTGTCATTATCTCGGAGGATCTGTTGGTATGGATCATTACTACTGTTGTCATTATCTCGGAGGATCTGTTGGTAGGGAACATTACTACTGTTGTCATTATCTCGGAGGATCTGTTGGTATGGATCATTATTCCTGTTGTCATTATCTCGGAGGATCTGTTGGTATGGATCATTACTACTGTTGTCATTATCTCGGAGGATCTGTTGGTAGGTCTGCATTATTACTGTTGTCATTATCTCGGAGGATCTGTTGGTATGGATCATTACTACTGTTGTCATTATCTCGGAGGATCTGTGGTGGTAGAGGATCATGGATCATTATTCCTGTTGTCATTATCTCGGAGGATCTGTTGGTATGGATCATTACTACTGTTGTCATTATCTCGGAGGATCTGTTGGTAGGGAACATTACTACTGTTGTCATTATCTCGGAGGATCTGTTGGTATGGATCATTACTACTGTTGTCATTATCTCGGAGGATCTGTTGGTATGGATCATTATTCCTGTTGTCATTATCTCGGAGGATCTGTTGGTATGGATCATTACTACTGTTGTCATTATCTCGGAGGATCTGTTGGTATGGATCATTATTCCTGTTGTCATTATCTCGGAGGATCTGTTGGTATGGAACATTACTGCTGTCTCATTATCTCGGAGGATCTGTTGGTACGGGGAACTACTGTTGTCATTATCTCGGAGGATCTGTTGGTAGGGATCATTACTACTGTTGTCATTATCTCGGAGGATCTGTTGGTAGGGATCATTACTACTGTTGTCATTATCTCGGAGGATCTGTTGGTAGGGATCATTATTACTGTTGTCATTATCTCGGAGGGTCTGTTGGTAGGGAACATTACTACTGTTGTCATTATCTCGGAGGATCTGTTGGTAGGGATCATTACTACTGTTGTCACATCTTACTAGACTTGTTGTCATTATCTCGACGAGTTATGATCTGTTTGGTATTGGATCATTATTTCCTGTTGTCATTATCTCTGGAGGGTCTGACTATTGTTCCTCATTATTGTCATTATGTTGCCTCATTGATCTCGGAGTTGGTAGTATGGATCAGTCAGTCTACTGTTGTCATTATCTCGAGGATCTGTTGGGTATGGTGGATATTACTATTGTTGTCATTATCTCCGGAGGATCTGTGGGGAACATTACTACTGTGTCATTATCTCGGAGGATCTGCTGGTAGGGAGACATTATTACTGTTGTCATTATCTTCTCTCTGTTGGTAGGGAACATTACTACTGTTGTCATTATCTCGGAGGATCTGTTGGTAGGGATCATTACTACTGTTGTCATTATCTCGGAGGATCTGTTGGTAGGGATCATTACTACTGTTGTCATTATCTCGGAGGATCTGTTGGTAGGGATCATTATTACTGTTGTCATTATCTCGGAGGGTCTGTTGGTAGGGAACATTACTACTGTTGTCATTATCTCGGAGGATCTGTTGGTAGGGATCATTACTACTGTTGTCACTGTATCTCGAGCTAGACTCGGGTTATGGTGGGTTAGACTTGACCTACTCTTAACCTGGCCTGACCTACTCTAACCTAACCTAACTTGACCTGATTAACTCTAACCTAGTGATGACGTCACAGCCGTTGGTTATGACGTCACAGCAGTTGGTATTGACGTCACAGCAGTTGGTATTGACGTCACAGCAGTTGGTATTGACGTCACAGCAGTTGGTGAAAACGACACAGCAGTTGGATTTTTGTCTAAGTTTTTGGACATTTTTGAAAAAGTTTTTAAATTATTGTATTTTATTTAGGGGGGGGGATTTGTCATGGTACGCTGTTTTGTTGTTCACCAAGTACAGGTATGTCAGGGGTGACGGAGGGGAGGTGGGCTGCAGGTGAGAGTTGACCCCGGGTCGAAGGTTATGCTGCCTCCCTCATTCACACCCCCATGTTTCCTTGCCTCTTAGATTTGAGTTTTCTCTCTCTATTATTTCTGTGTTTTACTTCACTCTCTACTTCCCACTTTCTTCGCTATACATCCCATTTGGTTTAACGTTTCAATACTTCCGTCCCCAGATGGTGTACCTCGCTGCCTTCATCCTCTCTCTGTGGTGGATCGTGGAGGCCGAGGGTAAGTCTGTCTATCTGTTAGTATGTGTGTGTGTGTGTGTGTGTGTGTGTGTGTGTGTGTGTGTGTGTGTGTGTGTGTGTGTGTGTGCGTCTGCGTGCGTGTGTTAGAATTCAACAAGCGACCTTTGCAGTACAGGAAACAGAGAGATAATGTAGAGAGAAAAAGAGATAAGAGGAAGTGGAGAGAGAGAGAGAGAAAATTTCATCACCACACTACAGTAAAAAAAAAACACCCTATCTTACCCTCCACTCCACCCGCAGCGTCAGGTAGTACGGAGGGCTCAGGAGGCATGGTCAACGGGTCAACACCACCTATCCCTGTACCGGCTTACCTCCTCTGCTTCGGCTACCTCATCGTCACCGCCGCCTCCATCTTCATGCTCCTTGGTCTCTATAAGGTAACGTCTCAACCATCTTTATAAAGTTGACGATAGTATTTTGTTTTTACTTTATAAGGTGCATCTAAACCCATCCTGACCTGTAATATTCCCCTATAAGTTGTTGATAAATACATAGCTGCTGTATCTTACCAAGTTATGACCACAGTCCAAGATATTAATCACAGATGAGGGATATTAATCAGAATTTACTCCCCACAAGAGGGATGTTAACTAAGATATCCCCTGAGTGAGGAGTATTAACCAGTATTTCCCCAGAGTGAGGAATATTAACCCCCCCCCCCCTCTCCTGCAGAAGAGGGACCGGGCACTACTGCTGTGGGTATTCGTCATGACCCTCTTCTGCTTCCCTGAGATGGGTATGGTTGCCTTCATGGCCTTCGTCCACTGGGTGAGTGTCTGGTGCTTCTAAGTACCTCCTAGTTCTTGCTAGTAATTCTTAGTTCCTCCGGGTACTTCTTGGTTCTTGCTAGTAATTCCTAGTTCCTCCGGGTACTTCTTGGTTCTTGCAAGTAATTCCTAGTTCCTCCGGGTACTTCTTGGTTCTTGCTAGTAATTCTTAGTTCCTCCTAATACTTCCTATTATTATTATTATTATTGTTATTATTATTATTATTATTATTATTATTATTATTATTATTATTATTATTGATGTTGTTTTCAGAAAATTACGTCAACATACGGACTGGTGGATCTAATCTTCTACGTGTTCCGGGCAGCGTTTAATGCAAGTAACTCATTATCATCAACGTATTGTGGCTGTTAACTTTGTATAGTAATTGTGATGCCCTGAGAGTATTATGATGTTACTAATAATTATAAACTCCTCGTCTATTAAATTCTGGACTCGTGTTAAGTATTTAAATTTGGTATTTTTTCAGGTGGTGTCAGTGTTGTGTGTACAGTCGCAGTATACCACTTGGCGGGACGACCTGGTCAACACCCACACCCTCAAGAGGCTCCATCACCTACACCTGGTGACTATCTCTCTCTCTCTCCGCTTCACGAAATTCACACTCAATAAATATAACTGTAAAATAGTCATAATTACGAATTTCATGAAGATTAGAAACCCACGCTTATTTCACCCGATGATTAAATAACCTAACGCCATCCTAACCTAACAACTTATTTTAGATACTGTTTGATTACGTTATGATAAAAAGAGGACTTTCATGATGCAGAACATATTTTAACATATATCATCTCCATTAAGGAATAGCTGTTGTGTTTTGTTGCAGGTGTTGTGGGGTGACATAGTTTGTGTTGATGTGTTGTGTTGCATTGTGTTGCAGGGCTCCGTACAACAAGGTGGGGTGAACGGGGAGACGACACTGGCATACCACAACCCAGCCTTCGTGTCCAGCCCTGAGACACCCACCGCCACTCTCACTACCTCCCCTACATCTCTCAGCAGGTGAGCCATCCAACAGGTGTGAAAGTGCTGTGAGAAATGGACAAAGAAAGTTAGAGAAGCAGTTAGATAGATGGGTGGGTAGATAGATGGAAAGACTGGTGTGTGTGTGTGTGTGTGTGTGTGTGTGTGTGTGTGTGTGTGTGTGTGTCACTAATCCCATGATCTCTTTTCCATTTTCTTGGCTGCCTTCCTTACTCGTGCCAGTGCCAATTTAGCCGGCGAGGAGGACATCGAGTACCAGATGAAGGGTCTTTTCAACTATAAGACGGCTCCAGGCAAGAACAAAGGTGTCGGCAGCTTCCATTACTGAACTTCAGTATGCAGACGACCTCACCCTTGTTGCTCACACTGAACACGACCTACAAGAGATCCCGAACACCTACACAGATGCGTATGCACACTTCTGCCTTGAGGTGAATGTACGTAAGACTCAGATTCTCCTTCAGCCTGCCCCTGGTTCAGCCACACCTCCACCATCCATCCAGCTTAAGCGGTACTACCCTCTCTAATGTTGCTCATTTTCGTTATCTCGGCTCCCACCTGACCACCACAGCGTGAACATCGATGAAGAGATTCAGCATCGGATCAGATGTGCATCTTAAGCCTTTGGCAGACTCCGAAACCGTGTCTCCAGCTGTAGGGAGCTGAAATTATCTACAAAGTTACACGTATATCGAGCAGTGGCCCTCCCCACCCTGCTATATGGCAGCGAGACATGGGTTACATACAGGAGGCACATCAAGGCACTTGAAAACTTTCATCAACGTAGTCTACGTTCCATCCTCCGAGTTCACTGGGAAGACAAGAGAACAAATGCCAGTATTATTGTTGACACCAACTGTAGGAGCATCGAGACTTCCATTATCCATGAACAACTACGTTGGAATGGCCATGTTACCCGCATGGACGACAGTAGACTGCCAAAGCAGCTACTTTACAGTCACCTGACGAATAGTAAACGTAAAGCTAGCGGGCACCTGAAAAGGTATAAGGATAGTCTTAAGACAAACCTGAAAAAGTGCCAAATCGACCACTTCACCTAGGAGACGATTACTCCTTATCGTAACGCTTGGAGGAGCACCACACACGAAGGTGTCAATACTTTTGAGTTAGCCCGACTGCAAACCGAGGCAGACAAGCGCCAACGCCGAAAAGACGCTGCCACCGCCCCTCCCGCACTCGATGTAGCCCCCACATGTGCAACATCTGTGAACAACTCTGCCGGTCCCGTATCGGCCTCTTTAGTCACCTTAAAACTCACCAATGAAGGTGACATCCTTAATAGCTCATATCATTGTATCATAACAGGATGATCGTCATACTCAATTCCGAGTGACAGCAAAGTAGTAGTAGTAGTAGTAGTAGTAATTCCATGATGGTCTTCCAGGTCATACTCGCGGGCGTCGCAGTACAGTGTGAGAGAGATGCCTATCGTGAGGGAGACGCCCCTGGTGGTGGGTCAGCTGGCGCCCGTCAGGACAGGAGTGCCCGGGTGGGATCCTTACGTCACCCGAGACTCCCAATCAGAGTTTAATGCCGCCATGTTCTCCCCCGGCTCTTTGGGTGAGTGGTCAAGAGCATATCTAGCCTGGCCTAGCCTAGCTTATCCAAACCTAAACTAACCAAAACCTAACCTAATCTAACCTAACCAAACCAAACCAAATACACCCATAACCACCTACCAAAGTCTGGATTAGTCTAACAATATTTTAACATGAATTAGCTGTACCAAACACCTAACCTAACCTTGTCTAAATCAAACCAAATGCACCTAATTTCACCTGAACTCCTAACTATAACATAAACCGCTGGTGGTGGTAGTAGTGGTGGTGGTTGTTGCGTTAGTAACTGGTAGTGGTGTTGGTTGTGTTAGTACTGGTAGTGGTGGTGGTAGCAGTGATATATGGTTGTAGTTGTTACTTACTCTGTACCTGTCCTCACGTGGTGTTGTCCTCCAGGGTTCCTGCCGCTAGTCAGTGGTCCTGGCAGCAGGAGTGAGGCTGCCCTACACACAGGTCCAGCTGGCGGCCTCACAGTCTACCATCACACTCCCCAGCTCTTCTACCCCTACCCCCTGGCGGACCAATACTACTCCACACAGAGCCTCGACAGACGAAGGTATGTGTTTATATATGCGTGGATGGCATATATGTATAAATATATCCAACACCTGTATATCAGTCGAGATAATTTTGGGATAAGTAAAATCAACTGTTCAAGGAAAACTCTCCTCTGACATGTATGATATTATCCTAACGTTGAAACCTGCACATTAATATAATTATTAAAATTAGTTGTCTGTTGCCATAATTCTTATCATAATGCACTGTTATCATTTTTACTGCTAGTACTGCTACTGCTCCTTCTGAAAATATAGCTACGACTTTTACTGCTAGTACTGTTACTTCTGAAAATATAGCTACGACTTTTACTGCTAGTACTGTTACTGTTACTTCTGAAAATATAACTACGACTTTTACTGCTCGTACTGTTACTGCTACTTCTGAAAATATAACTACGACTTTTTTCGCTAGAACTGCTACTGCTACTCCCTAACTTAACCTAACATAACATAAAAGGGTATAAAGACCACAAGGTAACTGAGGTGGTGGGATTTTCTCCTGGAAGCTATTGTTTGGTCGGAGTTTGTGTAAACACCACAACTATTACTACTACCACCACCACCAAAACTATTACTATCACCACCACAACTATTACTACCACCACCACAACAATTACTACCACCGCCACAGGTATACAACGAACTCCACCACCATGACCATTGTTATCATTAGAGGCACTTCTTCTGCTACCGGTGTCAGCATTATCACTACAGCCACTACCACACAACAGGTTCGGCCGTGGGCGTGGTGTGATGGTGGGTGATGGTCTCAGCATGAGAGCAGGTTTGCTGGCTGGCCCTGGCCTGGTCAGACCTCCTCATGAGAGTCGCAGCTCCCTGGGGGCCGAGAGTGACGACCTCCGCAAGTACCGCGATGTGGCTCTATGATGGTCCTGGCCAGTAAGTACATGTTGGAAGTGTCATGATGTAGCTGCAGTGACCCTGACGAGTAAATGGTTGCAGAAAATGCTACAACATGGCTCTCTGATGCTCCCATGCAGCAACTAAACGGATGTTGGCAATATTCAAACATGGTCCGTGACTCGCTTGGTGATAAACAAGTGCAGGCAGTACCAGGGAGACTACTTCTGATTCTCCTGGCAAGTACACAGCTGTTTCAAGTACATGGGTGGTAGTGTGGGAATATTGCAAACTTTTGACGAGTTCGGAAAACAAATTTCTGTGACAGCAGATACACAAGGTGGACTGAACTATAAAACTGTACACCATGGAAGATATGTACATACTGTATAATGATACCTGTATAATATGTGTGTGATTTTGATATAATAGATAACGAAAGTAATTAATATAGTTTTAAATAGTGAGTGCAGTGAGTTGCAACTTCATGACATGAAATATCAAGGCTACAAGACTAGACATTGTTCACTACTCGTGCATCAAGACCGAAGCTGAGTAACATTATATCAACAATGTCTTGTCACAGAGTGTGTAGTGGTAAGACAGTATATGTCTAAGCTAGTTAAGGTTTGGTTTACCAAGATAAATATTGTACAGTATAGATTGAAGTTTTGTACACAAGCACAGTAAATCTTTCTATAGAAACTTACAGCAATATGATGATTTAGTGCCCAATTTAGTATCACATTGCTACGGTTCTCATTGTATATCCTTTATATTGTATTATTTAAATTTCTTATTTTTATACAATGTAAATATTTTTTCCCATACCAAAAAATTATCAACAGGTTGTGACGGCACACACTGTTACCACCTTAGGTCAGTGTTGCCACCTTGTTCTTCTTATCTCTCTTGAGTTGCCGCTATAGACCGCGGGAACAGTGTAATGACTTCGAGGCCACCAACATCATAACTAAAACCAGTGTTAGTTCTACAGCCAAGCTACCTCTTGTTCGGTAGTGATAGTCCCATCTAGTATTCAGGATTCCCCCCTCCTTTCTTTTCTCCCTCCCTCCCCCCCTCGCGTTCCACGACACATGGCAGCTTGACAGGCATCCATACAATAGACTTTTTAGCTTCTTTAAATCAAGCCCCGTATTATTTTCACCCTTTTTAAGTCAAGCAGGTTGAACTGGCCAACAGGTAAAGGGGCCAGCACCTCCAACACGGAAAACAAGTAGAGTACCGTGTAACTTTCACCCCCTTAACCTGACCATCTCCCTAACTTTAAGACCAGAAGCTGTTGTACCTGTACCTCCACCTTCACTTTAAGAAACTCCTTATATTGTAGAACAGATACATTATTATTGTTGTTGTTATTGTTTTTCTTGCCATTATTACCATTACTGTTATCATTGTGAGATTTTCTGGGCATCTTATAAATGAAACTGATTATTTTAAGGGATTAGTAACCAAATATAATTAATAGTAAGTTACTTTAGATAAACTGTTGATAGTAATCTTGTGTCGTAAAATAAAGAGGTTCCAATAACAGTATCTTGTCAACTACCCAGTGAAGATTAACGTGCACGGACCTCTACCAGTAGGAGTTTTTATCAAGTTAGTAAAAGAAAGTTATTCATACAGATGGTCACGTAGCATTTATTTGATGTTGATCACCTTAAGGAAATTAATTAATTGACATTTTTATTAACCACTTGTATATAATATTATTTCGGACAATATTTGTTTATGCACGAGAACAATATTTTGACGATTCTAGTTCACCGCTACTTCCAATCACTCACAATAACTAACTCAAGATGAATAACAAAAAATAACAAAATAAAAAAGGCGATACAAGTTAATATTTTTACCTCTCCACCACATGTTTGCTCCTCATCTCTCATTGGTTAACGAATCAACCAATCAAACGCTGTCATTCTAGTATTGGGGACCGGCTGTTAATCGATTTGCGGATCGTATTCCAGGGTAATGGTTAGCCAGTGCAGTTGGCGAGTTGTCCGGTCTTCTCGGACTATTCCTTGACACTGGGTCATGCAGCTCGTTAACTTAGGGTGTGGTTGGCAGCTTTTACACCTTAAACAAATTCACGCCTTGGTGGCCCTTGGGCCGGCCATCCTCGTTACATGAGGGGCAACCTTTAAAATGTATGTATGTATGTGTATTAGAGTTTTCAACACTACCCATGGCGCGTTTTGTCTTTGTTTGTTTTAATGTGGTATCTCCTATAGACCTATTTCACTTTTAGTGCTTTTATAAAAGTTTCATTCTCTTCGCAACTTGTCCAGTAATAATAGTTATACATGAAATATTTGAGCCAAATTCAGTGCCGTTGTAACAATTATGGTCAGCATCAAAAGTTCATTCATTCTCAGGAGCATCGTCTACATTGAAATCTTCCACAGTACAAGTGTATCCTCGCCTCCACTGTCAGCAAGAAGACTTGAGAGAACCTCATCTATGTCGTATTCATCAAAGTCATCGCGCATTCATATAACTAAAACCGTTTTCTTCTATAAGAGCTTAAGAGAAAACTAAAATTATATTGGGAAAACCTTGCTATATATATATATATATATATATATATATATATATATATATATATATATATATATATATATATATATATATATATATATATATATATATAGCAAGGTTTTCCCAATATAAATTTTAGTTTTCTCTTAAGCTCTTATAGAAGAAAACGGTTTTAGTTATATGAATGCGCGATGATTTTGATGAATACGACATAGATGATGTGCAGGACTCGTTTATCATGTGGTAAGGTACAGGACTCGTTCATCATGTGTTAACGTACAGAGCTCGTTCATCATGTGGTAAGGTACAGGACTCGTTCATCATGTGTTAACGTACAGGACTCGTTCATCATGTGTTAAAGTACACGACTCGTTCATCGTGTGTTAACGTGCAGGACTCGTTCATCATGTGGTAAGGTACAGGACTCGTTCATCATGTGTTATGGTACAGGACTCGTTCATTTGTTAACGTACAGGACCTGTTCATCATGTGTTATGGTACAGGACTCGTTCATCATGTGTTAACGTACAGGAATCGTTCATCATGTGTTAAGGTACAGGACTCGTTCATCATGTGTTATGGTACAGGACTCGTTCATCATGTGTTAACGTACAGGAATCGTTCATCATGTGTTAAGGTACAGGACTCGTTCATCATGTGGTAAGGTACAGGAATCGTTCATCATGTGTTATGGTACAGGACTCGTTCATCATGTGGTAAGGTACAGGACTCGTTCATCATGTGTTATGGTAGAAGGCTCGTACTTACAGGTGGTGGGGCGAGGTAGTAGAGTAGGTTGGTGGTCCGTGATACACACAAGGCGGTACTGCAAGTTTCACAACCAGTTATCAATTACTGAGGTGTTAAGGGTGACGGCCGGAGCTGTAGACGAACATAAAGTTATGTGTTTGTGTGTTTGTTGATGTTTTGTGTGTGTGTGTGTGTGTGTGTCTGTCTGCGTGTGTGTGTGTTGCGTATACATACAGTATATAGTAGGCAGCTATCAAACAGGAAGGTACTACCGCCTGGGAAGATATTGGAAGCATAAGGTGTTGCATTAGCCCCTGTCTAACAGACATTAATACTTATATAAATGTGGGTTATATACAGTACATTTGTTTATATAATTACTTCACCCGCGGTAACTTCCTATGAGCCGTGAGTACTGAATAGTGACCAAGTGGACATGTGACTAGCCAGCTATCTCCAGTTCTGCTCCCATCTCGGGGCACTGAGACGTGTGCTTAAGAAACTAGATATACCCAAGGTTTGTCCATTATTAATGCTCATAGCATTAATTACGATGACATTCCAGTTATTGTGCAATAGTTTATTTTCTTAATAAGTGGAGAAAATACCATTTGGGTTTGATAACTTAACCCATAAACATTTAGGAATGTTGCTTCCAGTTCACCTCTAATTAGTGCTACCATAGGTAACCTGAAACTGCAACTGTGTTGTCTAATGGTAGACCATATGGACTCACAAAAATTGTGACCAAGTCCCAGGTTGCTGATCTGATTTTCCGCCTCATTTACACTCAATTGCAGTGTCTCAATTGTTTCTCTTACTTTGGCAACACAACATCATCCGATTTCGCTGAGAAGACAACAGAACAAATGCGAGTATCCTCGCTGATACCAACAGTTCGAGCACTGAAGCCGCCATTGCGGAGATTCTACCACTGAACCACCGATGCCACCATTAAGGGCGAGGATTTTCTTCTCTCCCTTATATTCTTATTTCATACTTCTTTCTTTGTCTTAGTTCCTTCATTTGTTCTGTCTAATATTTTCATTTCAAAGCTACTTCATGACCTCAGACCTTTGGTAGCATGGCGAGGGTAGGCACATGGGGACTGTAATTCTGGTATCATGTCATTGGACAAAATAAAGGTGAATACTGAGGTAAATGATACCCCTAATATACTCTAAGAAATGGTTTATTAATATGAAATTAAATTAGGGTAAAAGATGTCATTAACATACAACTCCAAGGTTCAACTCCTTGGCCTTACTCATCTGCAGTTCCACTTAGATACTCTTGCTTCTACAACATTACTGGTGGTACATTACATTAACACTGTTGGTAGTGCATATGGAGGATGCACTCACAACACATAACACGTTATTACTGATAATAACAATTATGTGGGTTCACTACCAAGCATTGGATAATTATTTCCAGTTAATTATCCGCAACCATATACAACAAACACTGTGGACCAAATAACTTCACGGAGTGTCCCAGGGTAGAACACTGGCGTCTCAACAAATGAAGACCGCTGTTGTGGTCTGTTGAAGTCTGACACGTGGCGAGAGCCTTGGGGGGCTAGTTTCCCACGATGCTGACTGGAGCAGTTTAATCTTGCCGAATCAGCGACATCGTTCAATACAGCTAACTATTAGGTATCCACCGACCCGGGCAGCCGGTGGGGTGTTCAAATAACCCACACACTGGTTCTGGGACGCATGCACATACACACATACAAACTTTTTTACACAAACTAACGTACCCACACACACACACGCAAATACACACACACATACACACAAACACACCTCTACACAAACTGACGTACACACACACACACACACACTGATCCAGTAGTGAACTTTGGGTTGCCGGCGCGTTATCTCTTATTCAGATTACAAGTTTAACATTGAAATGCCGAGGAAATGGGGAGGAGGGGGGGGAGGACAAGGGTGAGAGAAGGAGGGGGAGAGGACAAGGGTGAGAGGAGGAGGAGGGAGAGGGAGAGGACAAGGGTGAGAGGAGGAGGAGGGAGAGGACTTGAGTGACAGAAGGACAGAGAGGGTGTGGATGAGTGGGGTAGGAGAAGAGAGAGGGGCTGGGGAAGTTAGGGAATGGTGAAAGTGAGAGGGAGGGGAGAGTGATTCTATATTGGCAGGTTAGTCACAGCAACTACAGGAGATAGAGTGAGGGATGAGAGGGGTGAGAGAGAGAGAGAGAGAGAGGTGAGAGAAATGGTATGAGAGCGAGAGAAAGGAAAGATATAAAGTGAGAGATTGATTCAAAATTAAGAGGTAAGAGTGAGAGATAGAGTGAGAGATAGTGAGAGATAGAGTGAGAGATAGCAGTGGCGTAGCTAGAGTGTGTGCCGCCCGGGGCGGCCCTTGAGTTTGCCGCCCCCGTGCCCCCACAAAAAATACATATTGCACAGTGACTCACTCTATATATATATATATATTAAATAGTTTGTGTACCATTATAATATTACTGTACTTTCACATACTCAAATATAGTATGCTTTAAATACACCCCAAACATACTTAAACTTTATAAGTAACAGTTAAACAAAAAGCAAAAACGACATATAGGATAGGGAAAAAAGTAAAAAAAGTGTAAAAAATTAGGACCATCTTTATTTCTGAAATGAAAACTACAACTTTCTACAAAGTAACTTTTCTTGTTTTTTTGTTGGCAAATTCTTCAATGACATTGTCAAAAACTATTTCATCTGTCAATTGTCGCTCTATAGACAGTATGGCAAGATTTCTCAACCGCAAGGTGCTCATAGTAGATCTTAAGTAATTCTTGATCAGTTTTAGTTTCGAAAAACTCCTCTCACAGGTAGCAACACTAACAGCAATTGTGAGGAAAATCCTCAGCATTATTACTATATTTGGAACCGAGTTCCCAAGGTTATACTTTTGAATAAACTGCAAAAGTTCAAGGGGGCCTTCTTTCCACGTCTGTATGACCCGAGACTGCATGGTTTTGCAGCTACTGGAGACGTTAATCCTTCCCTTTGTATCGGCGGCAAGTTAATCCTCGTCGTGTCTGACCTAACACCTGACCCACACCACATGAGCTCACTGGCGTACTTGTTTGAAGTTGTTTCCTTAATCCTCAACAGGTTACAGGTTGTGTGTGTGGCGGGGGGGGGCGCATAGCAAGGGTGTAGCTCATGACGTGGCCGTGATGATGTGGGTCAGGTGTTAGGTCAGACACGACAAGGATTAACTT